AAAATGAGCAAAATAACATATACTTTTCTTTTTGTCATGTGGCATTTTTCCAAACAAGGGACATCTCAACATTATGAGCTATGTTTATCAGAGCAAAAAACAAATAGGACAATTATACAAATATTTTTTTTCAAAACTGCTTAAAAGATCTATGAAACAGGTAGTGACTGGGAGGGGAAATAGAAAACCCATTTTTTGCTATAATAAAACTATGACTATAGTAGCTGTAGTTTTATTATAGCTATTATAGACCCAATTGTGCGTTTTCTCTTTTACCTACCTATAGCACCAAAACATTGTCAGTAATTAGTTTTCCTTCTCTTTCAGTGTTCATAGTCCACATCTGTTGGCCAGAAACCTCATTGAGATTCAAGAGCCTAAATCAATTGATCAGAGGATTACATTTTTTCTCTTTCTTAATTATGTCATTGTCAGAGAGAGAGAGGGGGGGGCACAGTCTGTTCTCCTATTACATCTTTGAACTTTCATATTGGCCCTTGATATACAAGCTGAACAATGTAACATCCAGTAAAGTCTTGTTGAAATGGAAAAGCCCTAAAATGACTCACTCCCTTAAATCAATAACACACCTTGTTCCAAAACCAGTAAATAGAAGCCCAGAACATAAGGCAAAGATAAAATTACCAAAGTTTCACTGGTTTGTTGATAGAAATGTCATTTAGTTATATTTTATGCTCTCGTAGTAAATGCTAAATGAACTGAGATAGGAAGAATTGTTGTAAGATACAGGTTAAATTCAGGTGATACTTCCTCTATTTCTAACTGGCTTAATAGGCAGAATCATAGCAAGAGTTGGGAGAAATGGCAGATCAGTTCCTGAGATCAGATTTTCTGATTCCAATTCTCCATTTTTTTGTCAATTGTCTGTCCCTAGTGAAAGTATAAGATCAGCATATGTGAAATATGGATATTATTGCTTCTGCTGTTAATTTTTCAAAAAATATAACTGCCTTTTCTTCTAAAATAATAAAGCAGTTTTGACAGATGACTGTAGAAATCTGAAAAATCCATCTGTTCCAAATGATATATAAGCTTTCATACGTGTCTCAAAGTAAGATATATATGATTTTGTTACTAAAATCTAATCGTTCTTCTTACAATATTTATAATTGCACTTATTTTTTTTAAAGATTGTATCAAACTAACCTTCCTAACCTACGGATCTTTCAGATATGTTGATTTCAGTTCCTAGAATTCTTAGCAATTGTCATGCTAATTAGTAAATCAGGGGGTTGAACTCAACATATTTAAAGGACACCCAGGTTAGGAGAAGAAGTTTCTATAACATGAAAAATAAATAGATAAATAAAATATCAAGAATATCATCCATAAAAATAAGGATAGAAACAAAAATTAATCTATCATCAGGGCAGATATATTTTTCTTCCCTTGCTGACACTAAAAGAAGGGCCTCCCTAGTAGAATTAGGATATTTCCGGGTCTGATAGACAGAAAAACATCCTCTGATGCTATCCACTTAAGATTTTCAGAATTAAAGCTACCATTTTATATTAGCCTGAGACGAAGGATTTTAGCATTGGTGTAATTTCAACTGGCTATACCTGCTAACCATCTAATACAGACATTCTGACTTGGTTGAAAGCCCCAGGTCATTTTCAAAGACATCCATAAAAACAGTATACTGTAATAATAAAGTTGAGAATAGTACTTGAGGAAGCACTGATAATGTCAGACATCTTAACCCAAATCATATGTAGTTCAAGCCAGTCCAAACTGGTGAAAGGCGCTTCTGGCCACGAATAGACAAACTGGAAAAGCACAACTTTTGCTGTTTCATAGAACTGATATCTCATCTGATAAACACCCAATTTCAATATCTCAATTGTTTACCCCATTGAGATTCATAATTTATAGATAAAAATTATTACTGAATCCATAAACTATATCTGCATCTTTGCAGCTTCATCTATGTCAAAGGAAAAGAAAAAATAGAATTAAATTGTATATTAAGAACAACTTAATAAATTTATAGTTATCTCCCCTAATTAATTCTTTGGCTCCATGGCTCAGGGACTGGGTCTAATTTTGTCAGCTTTCACTGAAGTTGCAGCCACCTATGTATTAAATAATTGTTGGTAATCCAATATCTGTACTCTATAAAGGTTGGGCTATTAAGAGGAAATATAAAATACATGAAATATAGTTGCAAAGGTGTTGAACTAGGAGTGGCAAGAACTGTTTTCACGGTGAATGATACTAGGTGACCTTAAGCCAGCCACCTGAATCAAAAATATTTTATAATTATAAGCTTCCAGTTGGGCAATCTGCTTATATGGTTATCATATAGTGACTAGTTGGAGAGTGAGGGATTAAAATGGTAATTCAAATAGACTGGAAGAATTTTTCACATTACATATTGTAACGGCAAGCATCACTTCTTAAAGAACAGATTTAATGGAAGGTGTTCTAATATTAATGATAGAAATAGCATTCTCTATCTTATTTGAAGAATGAAATGATGTTCAGACCCTCTTGAACCCCCAAACTTGTGGTTTTTAATAGTTTACCTAGGTGATTAATGATAGACCTACTGATTTTTAAATACTAAGTTTGCAAACTTGGTAAAGGGATCATTGGAACTAGGAAAATGCCATAGCAGTTACTAGTTCATCTTGCAGCATTGTATCTATTGTGTCTAGTGGGGTTATTTGACATGAATCCGTTATCATGGCAGAATTGCAATGTATAGGAGAAAATGTTACAAAATTAAAAAGATCTTTTGAAAGATTTCCCATGCGACTCAAAATGGAAATAACCAAAAGTCACTGAACAAACACAAATCCTGATTACTGAGTTTGTTGTTGTTGTTGTTAATTGCGAAGTCATGTCCGACCCATCGCGACCCCATGGACAATGTTCCTCCAGGTCTTCCTGTCCTCTACCATTTTCTGGAGTCCATTTAAGTTCACACCTACTGCTTCAGTGACTCCATCCAGCCATCTCATTCTCTGTCGTCCCCTTCTTCTATTGCCCTCAATCTTTCCCAGCATTAGGCCTTCTCCAGTGAGTCCTTCCTTCTCATTAGGTGGCCAAAGTATTTGAGTTTCAACTTCAGGATCTGCCTTCTAAAGAGCAGTCGGGGTTGATCTCTTCTAGGACTGACCAGTTTGAACGCCTTGCAGTCCAAGGGACTCGCAGGAGTCTTCTCCAGCACCATAGTTCAAAGGCCTCAATTCTTTTGCGCTCAGCCTTTCTTATGGTCCAACTTTCACATCCATACATTGCAACTGGGAAAACCATGGCCGGGACTATACGCACTTTTGTTGGCAGGGTGATGTCTCTGCTTTTTAGTATGCTGTCTAGATTTGCCATAGCTTTCCTCCCCAGGAGCAAGCGTCTTTTAATTTCTTGGCTGCAGTCCCCATCTGAGGTGATCTTGGTGCCCAGGAAAATAAAATCTGTCACTACCTCCATTTCTTCCCCATCTATTTGCCAGGAATTGAGAGGGCCGGATACCATGATTTTGGTTTTCTTAATGTTGAGTTTCAAGCCAACTTTTGCACTCTCCTTCTTCACCCGCATCAAGAGGCTCTTTAGTTCCTCTTCACTTTCTGCCATTAGAGTGGTATCATCTGCATATTTTAGGTTGTTGATATTTCTCCCGGCAATCTTAATTCCAACTTTTGTTTCATCTAGCCCTGCTTTTCTCATGATGTGCTCTGCATATAAGTTAAATAGGCAGGGCGAGTTACTGAGTTACATGGTTCAAATGTTTAAAACAGCTAATTGGGTTTGGTTAAAGTTCACAGAGACTGAATTAGTTTATAATCCAAACATAGGTAAATGTGTTTTGTATTTGCTTTAGCTCTGAGATTTTGTATATATTTTTTGTTTAATTTTATTCTTGATGCTTTGCCTTTGCTGCATATTCGCACCTTGATGTTATGATAATACACACTCCAGTGCTGTGTTGTCATTCCTTCCATTGCTTTTCTTTGGCAGCTCAGTTCTTTTTTCAAAGGCCATGGCAGCAGTAAAACTAAAGAAAGCATTAGTAGTAAAAGGCTTGACCATCTCAGATATAAAGTGTAGATGTTGAAGACATAGATATTTGAAGAATATCAGCCCAGGGAAAAGAAGGTAAGTAGCAAAATATAACACACACTCACACACACACTGGTTTTTTTTATACTTTTGTTTAGTAACAAGCAAAATTCTGTATGGAAAATATATGGCTTGGTAACAAGCTGACTTTAGAAGAAAAGAAAAACTTTTCATTTTGAAATTAACTGAATTAGCAGAGATGAAGAAATCAACTGCTTTGATTAGAGATAATGGACTAGATAGTTTTATAAGAGCCTGGAAACCGTTGATGGACTTTCTACATGCTAAATATAATAACATGGTTAACAGAGAGATTTGAAGAGTGGTGTAATGTTTAGCTTAATTTGTTGACTGCTTTTATATGTATGTATGTATGTATGTATGTATGTATGTATGTATGTAGGTCTTTAGTTATTCAGGTTTTCTCCCGCGTAAAATTGGAAGTGTCTTGGCGACGTTTCGACGAAGTCCCATTCGTCATCTTCAGGCTGGTGTTTTCAGCTTCGTGCTTCGAGGAGAAAACCCGGATAATCAAAGACCTACATACAAACACCCACGAAAACCTCAGAAAACACACACATACACGTGCGTGTGTGTGTGTGTGTGTGTGTGTGTGTGTGTAAGGGGAAGAGAATGTACTGCTTTTTCTTTTCTTTCAGCAACCAGCTAGAGTGGATCCCACATGTTAAATATTAAATTTAATTGATCTCTTTTCCCTCTTTTTTTTGTACACTATTTTTTTCTTTTTTGTTGTTGTTAGGGTAGAATGTATGCTTTTGTTTTGTTTCATTTCATTTGTTTTTCTATTTTTTATTTTTTATGATAAAACAAAAAATATATTAGAAAAAGGAAAAAAAAGTTGTGGCACTTTCTACACTCATGTCACTATAATCAACTTATTTTCTTTATTCTAGATACATTTTATCCTGCTGTTCAGCCGACAAGGGAAATTAAGACTTCAGAAATGGTTTATTACACTTCCTGAAAAGGAAAAGAAAAAAGTCACCCGAGAAATTGTGCAGATTATTCTGGCTCGAAATCAAAAAATGAGCAGCTTTGTTGACTGGAAAGATCTCAAGCTTGTTTACAAAAGGTATGGGAAGTTTTATAAATCAACTTTTTATATACAGCAGATCATTTCCGTATGTAATGAAAAGGAAGAGGAATAAATGCTCTCTAAGTCACTGCTAGAATGCTTATAAATAGCAATTGACTGGACTGAAGAACAACCACATGAGTTCAGGTTCATTTTCTATTAAAAAAATATTGTTTTTGTAGAAAAAGAAGGGAATTGTATCAATATACTGAACATAAAACTACCTTTGGGGGCTTCTGTTAGCCGAAGGAAGGGTTGGATAACATTTTCAAATCAATGATACACCTAAGCAACCAGTTTTTCTCAACATCAACAAGTTTAAAATGCATGAAATTCAACTCTGAAATTGCATTGCTGGCTGGGGAATTCTGGAAGCTGAAGCTGCTGAGATTGAGAAACACTGACCTACCCAGCAACATTTTTTTCAGGGATATGATGAAAAATACTGGTTTTCACAATCATTTGAGGACTTTCATGTATGACAATTTCTCTCTTGTGTACATATTTCTGCTATTATTTCATGGTTTTTAATTTGTACTTTCCTAGTAATTACTGCTGCTACGCTTGTGAGATAAAATCTCAGGGTAATCTGAGCTGCCCATGAGCAAACTCTGGGCTGCTCAAGAAAACATTTACCTTAAAGCAATCCATTTATTGGACTAACTCAAGGTCACAAAACAGTGTGTAAACTTTCATCATGAAAGGGACGAACAAAAGGGCTACTGGAACATGAATTCTGGATTTTTTTAAAAGAGACAATTGCCCTTTCTTTTAACAAAACAAGCTGTTTACATAAAAACTATATCAATATGCAAACATTTGAAATATAATTTGGGACCGATATTGATAAAGTATTAAGATGTATGAAGATATGTTAAGAAGTAAAAAATAGGTTTGCATACCATAGACCTTAGAGAAACAGGGTGAGATTTTATGACAGATTGTTGTGCTGAATTGTAAACTTACTTCATATCAACATAACTGATATGGCACTTCTTATTTTCATAATCATTGATAACCACTTTTCAAGGTGCTTTTAAGACAAATTATTTTATGATGTACTGAACAAGCAAAATTGAAGAAAGAACAAAACTGATCTTTAATATATACTAGTGGTCAGTGCTTTTTTTGTAAGAAAGAAGGTGCCGGAACTCACATCTCGTTAATTTTTTATTTAAAAAGTTATATGTTCAGTTCTTAGCAGGACTAGTGGTTGAGAAGTAATTAGTAATTTTTTTTCATTTTTAAATTTGGGGGTCATACTTTTACACTAAAATTAAAAAAAAATTCAATTTATCAACAATTTTTTAAAATAGAGAAATTATTTACCTTTCGCACATAGTCAAACACTGTACACCCCCTACCCACATGTCAGTTGTGTAACGAAACATAATGATCTCCGCCTGCAGTAAGCACTCAGATTGCGATCACTTGACCAATCAAAAGCCGAGCATTACCACAAGCCGAACAGTGCCATTATTCTGGATCTTGAACTGAGTTGCCTTCCAATTCAGACCCAGATAGATAATGCGACAAAATGGATTTAAACAAATATTTAATCCGGGAATCCTTAACAGAAACTTATATTCCTGAAGATGCGTCCAGTGGAGAAGATTTGTCACTGAATAACTAAACTACATTACCCATAAGCCATCTCTTAAGGAGACAGCACTTAACCCAATAAATGCCAAGTATTCTAACATACTGATCTATCTAACTGATCGGTCCAGATCAGCCATCACAACTAGCGCAAAGTACGCATGCATCAGACTCAACACACAAGCAGCCTGCATGCATCATTTTAATGATTTTGCTGCTGACCTGCTATGCTTAACAGGGCGATTCAAGTCCATGTGGACCAAACATCAAATTTTCCAAAGTTACTTTTAAAACTTGGAAAATCCATTGAGAAAAGGTGCCAGAACTTCGTTCCAGTGCGTTCTATGACAAAAAAAGTACTGCTAATGGTCATGGTTTTTTCTCCTCATTTTATAATTTAGATATGCTAGTTTGTATTTCTGTTGTGCAGTAGAAGAAGAAGATAATGAACTTCTGACCCTAGAAGTTGTCCATCGTTATGTAGAGCTATTGGACAGATATTTTGGCAATGTAAGCTTATTTCTTTATTATTGCTCCATAAATAGCTTTCTTTGCAACTGATAATGTGTTTAACATAATTTTCTTTGCAAATTGTGTTTTATGGTTTGGAATAGGGGTAAAATATAATCAATTAGAGTGTATTCCACAAGCCTATATGTGAATCCAATCATGCTATTTTTTTTCTTTAATGGAAAAATGATATAAAGGCATAGGAACACTAAGTGCTTTGGAATTATTTTAATTCTGAGATTTCTGACAAGATAGAAATATGTTGGTGTATTATCTGTCCACTTGAAGAGCTAGTTTAGTTTGTTTGCAATTTATTATGTTTTAACTATGTATTTCTAAGGTTTATTAGTTATCCAGTGACCAGGCCAGTATAACAAAAATATATGCCAGATAAAACTATATAAACCAAGTAAAAATTAGTAGATGAGCTTCTGTTTCCCTGAAGGATTATGTGTGAGCTCTTTTTCACCCAAGTTTTCATAGTGTCAGTAGGGTGGAATATGTTTGACCAACTGAGATTCATGGTCCTGCCTGCCTGGAAAGAGGCTACTGTGTTTGGTTGCAATTATTTTTCATTGTCTTAAGAATAGACTCCCTCAGTGGGTAATTTCTGCAGAAACGCAAAATCTAGTTAGGAACTTCAACTAGTTCATAATACAGCTGCTAAACTTCTTGCTAGCAACAATCTGCAAAAAAACTTCTAGCTAGTTATGAAATAGTAGTTGCTGGTTTATATTCTAAGATAGTTCCAAGTACTAGTAACCTGGCTATTGAGATTCTCCATTTTTTTATTGTTCGAAGAAGTTAAAATGTTGCGGAGAAGGTAAAGGCTAAGAGAAGACCTCCCACATATTTCCATCTTAGAAAATGGTATGGTTTATGGTATATTGCTGGTGAACTAATCACCTGTCATATAAAGTTTTTGATAGCATATTGTACAGCCAATAGTTTCACACATTGCAGCATTAAGGAATACAATGTAACGAAAGCTTCAAAGGAACACTACTTCTTATCAAGTCTATCTCCTTGATAAGGGCAAACTGCTCATTTACACATGTGATTATTTTGTGTACTTTAATTCTTAATGTAATGTTCTGTTCTACAAACACTCAAAATAGAATAGAGAAAATATCAGAATACTAAAGGGCTTACTCATTTAAAGCTTTCCTTTCCCCTTCAGAAATTAATTTCTGGGACAAATTTTATTACTGGTATAAATTAAAGAGAACTGCTCGGGCTTCAAGCTAGTGTTAAGATAGAAATACATATAATTGTATATATAATGTATTGTATAGAAGAATACGTTTATTTAGAGATTAAGAATGATGTATTAATTATACTGTATGTATAAAGAGGAACAAATTGTTAGGAATATTTATTCTGGAATGTCACGTTATGTCCATTTTTGTTTTAACTGTATTATAAATAAAAAACTTTTTAAATTTCTGTATATATTTCCAATCCTTGATAAAACAAATACATTGCATAATGTGTTTTCTTTTCATTTGGTTTATTATGACAATGTACCCATGAATGAATTTGAAGAAAGGCCAGCTTGCCTATAAAAAGGCAGAAATAATAGCCAGTGCACACCCTTTAGATGGTTTTTTTTATAAAACCCAGCTGTAGGATTTTATTTCTAGAAAAGTGTGAAAAGGATTGCAGTCTGTCAACAGTTAAGACATAAAATGATCTTGAAATGTCACTTAGTCTTAAATTATTTCAATTTGAACCATCGGGATACATTTAATTTTATATATCCTTAGTTGGCTGTCCTAGGAGTGCACATTTATACAGTATATATGAGTACATATTAACATATTCAGTAGCAGGATACGGACTCTAAATATTTATTTCTATAATACTTAACAGGTATGTGAACTGGATATTATTTTCAATTTTGAGAAAGCATATTTTATACTTGATGAATTTCTAATGGGTGGGGAAGTTCAAGAGACATCCAAAAAATCTGCGGTGAAAGCCATAGAAGATGGTGATATGTTACAAGAGGTAAGTCAGAAAAGAGAAGAAAACAAATCCCTCACTTTCTCTCCTTCTTTAAAAATATGATTGTCCTACTTATTAAGGTCAGTGTTTTTCAATTTAAGCAACTTTAAGATTTCAGCTCCCAGAATTTCCCAGCCAGCATTCTGGGAGTTGAAGTCCACCCCTCTGCATTGGTTTAGGCCATCAATCATACTCTAACAATATTATTGGTATAAGGATATAGAAAAGCTCACTTATAATAGAAAAGATATAGCCAGGGGCTGACTGTAGAGCTGTAGTGGAATGTGGTCCAGATTCCTAGGAGGGAAGGAGTTAAACTAAAGCTGAAAAAGAAAGCCAGCCAGCTTCTCTGGTATGATCTTGAATATGTACTCATCATTTTCAAGAACATCAGAAATCATTTGAAATTCTATACCTCACAGATCTAGCTGAACAATGGAATGCATGAAAGATGTTGTTAAATATAAATATGAGAATAGGCTATCAAAGATCAGGAAACAGAAAAAGCACACTGGATGTCAAAATAAAGGTGAAAGTTGCAAAGAAGAAAAAAGAAACCAAAGACAAGGAAGACAAAGATCTCAAGGAAGAACTCAACAAAGAATTTCCAAGACATATCAGAAAGGACAAGAAACACTATTACAACAGTAAATATGAAAACAAGAAAACACATGGAAAAATAAGGGTAGTCTTCCAAAAGATTTCCTAACTCAGAAGGAGGTTCCAGCCTTGAATTGGCATGCTAAAACAACTATCAATGGATAGTGAGAATTAATTCAAAGAAGATCAAGTAAAGGTGGAAGCAGTATACAGTAGTCTGTACTATATGTGTTAACATCCAGAAGGTATCCTCTATATTTACAAAACCACTAATACTGGAAATTAGGCCAGTACTCAAGTCGGAAGGCTATTGGAGTTGATGAAATAACTAAAGAAATATGGCAAACAACAGAAGAATCTATAATGTTTGTAATCAAAGGCCAGCAAATTGGGAGAAAGACCCAGTGGCCAAAAAATTGGAAGAAGTGAGTCTACATATCAATATCAAACAAAGGAGGCTTAGCAGAATGAACAAATATTCACACAATATACTTAATTATACATGCTAGAAAAATAATGCTTAGGATCATCCAAAACAGATGAGAACCATTTAGCAGAGGTGCCAGATGTTTGACTAGTTTTAGAAAAGTCCAAGGAATAGGAGAATAATTGCTGATGCTTGCTATATAATTGAGAAACCCAAAGATTAATAAAAAAAGGTCTACAAGTGCTTCATTGATTATAGAAAGGCTTTCTTTTGTTTCAGTCATGTTATAGAATGTATAAAACATGCACACAAAAACACAAAATTCTGTAAGATGTTATGGGTGTCTAATGTTCAGTTCAAACACTAAAATGTATACCCTACTCATTAACATATCTAGTGTTTTCAAATACTTGATTTCATGGCCAGCATTAAGTAAAAAGGAATTTAAAAGAGGCAGGACTATTTTCCCCAATCTGTCCAACATGATAATTGTAATTACTATCAGCTGTATAAATTAATACTTGGACTTTGTGCCCTATTTATCCCTAATAGCATGTACCTATGATGTTATGGAAAAACAAGGTATGATTTGTGAAACAATCTTAAGTCTCATTTGTTAAACAAATTAGCTGAATAAGTAGCATAGTAAAATTAGTCTCAATGGGACATAAGCACACCATTGAGACTGGTTTGTGCACAAGTAATGCTAGAATTTTAAAAGTATTGGGAATGACTTTATCGTGATGGAAAATTACTAAAGACTTCCATAGAAGCATCTAAAATGAACCCAGATCAAACCAGGTCAGAACAAACAAATTTTGTTGACTAAATGCTAAATATGCTGCTAATCCATTTTTAATGCAGAGACAAGGAGATATCTTGAGATTCTCAGTGTTTCAAGAAAAGCTTAAGTTGCTAAACTGCATATAATCATAGAAAACTGACATCAGAAAGAGACCTAATGGTTCATCAAGTACACCCTTTGAGGTTTTTTTGTTTAATTTATTCATTATATTTTAATTTTTTTATTTTTGCTATAGATGTTGTTATCTCAAGCTTGATTGTAGATTGGTAAAAGAAAACACTAGAATTATTTGATTGAAAGATTATGAATTTATTAACAAAATAATGTTTCATGTTCATTAGCTTCATGATTTCAAAACTATTTTATTTTTGTACTGAAAGTAAATAATTTTAACATTCAGAATTAGTCTAGGCTACAAGATTAAGCTAGTGAGAAGAGAATGAGTCTATTAATAATGTGATTTTTCTTTAGTTTAGCAAATTAGTTTCAGTTATCTGCTTTTGTGTAGGTTGATTGTTCTTACATTATGAATTCTATGGGTAACTTCTGATTATAACTGAGTTATTTTCTTGATTGTTCTTTGTTGCAGACAATGGAAGAATATATGAGCAAGCCTGCCTTTTAAATCAAAACTATAGAACCAGCTAAAGGGACCATGTAATATGGCATAACATCTCTTAAGTGCCAGATTTTGCTTAAAATACATATTCCCCAAAGTTCTAAAAGTGATATGTTATCTATGCAACTGTCAAGATGAAGGTCAGCCACAGTGCTGTAAGTATAGCAGCACATGTATATTATATTTTCTTTGAGTTTATTTTAATTTGGCTGTCTAGATTGAAAGTTTTATGGCAAATCTTACTATAACTTTTTACTCTAAGAAATTGATACTAGAATCTTTGAAGGATATATTTATGACTTTGGACCAGTTTCTGATCAATTCAATATAATTTTGTAAAAACAAAAATTGTTATGTGATCATTTCTTCTATATTAATAATACTTCTACAAAATGTATGGTGTTGATAGATTTAATTTTTAAATTGTTTTGACAGCAAGTGTCAAAGATTATAGATTATTTAATACATTATAGTCCTTTGTGTTGGGGGTAAATCATTTTTTTACAAGATTGAATACAAATTTTGCTAAGCATTCCTTAATCAGCATTTCTGCAAGCTGAAAGAGAATAATTATATCCCAATTTAGATAATTTTTTATCCTGGCTTTGAGCTTTTTCAGTGAAGCAATAAATTGAAATGGCTGAATTTCATTCTTATAGACCTACAAACATATAAATGCGGTTGTACAATGGCTAGAGGCTTCTTTGAGTTATTAGTCAATTTACTGCATCAAGGCCTTTTATAGATTTGGGAGGTATAGGGATTTCATCTTATTAGAGAACCCCCTTTTCTAAGGATCCCCATGGTAAAAGGTTGTCATGTAGTATAACTACCAGTCAGAACTTCCTTACATACAGCAATCTAACTAGCTGGAGTATTTCAAATACTATAATTTGATGATGGGAGGCACGTAAATTTAACAAAACAAACATTTTCTAAGAATCTCTCTCTTCAACCCTGGACAATGAAGAGTGAAAAGCAATATCTCTCAGATTATCATCAGATTCTGAGGGTGAAAGCCTAGAAAATAAAAAACTGAAGAAAATGATATAAAATACTTGAAAACATAAGAAGCACTTCTGTAGCCATGCAGTCATGCACATGTTGTAAGAACTGTTTACTAAAACTCATTTTCAAAGGAGTCAGTTCTCTAATTCTGACAAATTACTTATTTGGGAAAAGAAAAACATGGGAGTCCGAAGTTATTATGCAAAAAAATACCTGGCAGCTGATTTCATCATTTTAAAAATTCTCCACTTGACTAATAAAGGCACTGCCCAATTCTCATATGGTACCTTGGGGAAATATTGTGTGAAATGAAAATAAATAAAATGATGTATTCAAGGCTTGTCAATTAAATTCCAATTGAAAGATCTATATGATAATGGTTCAGATCATACCCATTACAATGGTGTCACAACATCACTGACTACACCTGCTGCAGTCTCCAAGCCATAAAGATTGTCAAATCTTGTCTATGCAGAGGGGTTCCAGAGTGTTTGACACAATGATGCTTTTTGTAGTTTGTAGGAGTTTGTAGGAAGACCTGGAAAAAGTAATTTAAACAATGGATTCCTACCAATGCCATTAGCAGCATCCATTTGTTTGTCTGTTTTTCACTCCCAGTTCATTCTGAGAGAGAGAGAGAACCAGGATATTGTGCATTTATGTTTTGTCCTTCAATTGGTTTTTTGGAGAGGAGAGATGAAGAGAAATCAATAACAAAAAAGAATAATAACAGAATCAGAAGACAGTATGGCATGGCTGCAGAATTTCTGGAAAATAACTTCACCTGCTAGCAATATTTGATTCAGTCAGCATTTCAAAGCAAACAGATTTGGTCTGCATCTATTCAACTACTCCCTGGATGAGAACACAGTGATTCCATATATTTTTCACACTGATGCTGTTAGCTAAGAAAAATGCCTCAAGTTGCACATAAAACTCTCTGTTTTAGGATTCAGTCCATTTAGAAATGTGTACTCTCAAGCAAAATGCCTTTTAAAAGGTGTCCTTATGTATGTATTGTGTGTGTGTGTGTGTGTGTGTGTGCGCGCGTGTGCACATGTGTGTGTAACATAAAATACCCTCCCCTGCAACACACAAACTTTTATAAGAATGAACATTGGTACTTATTTTTCTAAAAAAGGAAACAGAATAATGAAAAAAGGATAGTTTGAACTGCTGACTGAACATATACAGAACTCATCAGAAGAGGAAATAGGAAGTCATCTATCATGACTATTGGCCTTCACTGATTTTCTTCTCTCTTCCCATTATTGCCCTCCCAAGTCCTTTCTTTCTGCAACCTTCCTTATGGCTCTAAGAATAAGTTAGAGATATAGGATGTGATTCCAGCATTAATGACATTTTGTATCTTGAAAAAATATGCACAGATAAAAATTTAATCATATCATGTACATTTTTCTGTTGGGTTCACATACACACATTTATGTCTTATTGACACCAATATCAAATATATACAGTACTCGATCATATATATGTTTGATTTAAACTTTTGCTGCATTAATTTCAAGATATATCTTGTCCAGCATTCTGTTTTCATAAGATGACTATGAAAAACTCACAAGCAGAATATGGCTATAGCTTCATTTTCTCAGGGTTGGGTTGGATTGGATTTCTCAGCAGTTATTCTTCAAGAAAAAATCTATTTCTTAACACTACAGGTAAAACATGGCTAGTTGAACTATTGTCACTGATAGCTTGCCCCATGAATTTGGATAATCCCCCTTTTATAGCTAGGTAACTTGATATCTTGTTGTAACAAATGTCAGAATTTTATCTCTGCATTTTATGAAGTGCTTTTTGGGGGGTCAATGTCACTCAATTTCATTAGCTCAATATGATTTTTCCTTTTTCTTTCTTAATATATATATAGTTTCAGATTAGTCCTAAAGACACTCAAGCTCAAATTTCCATTCAATCACGATGCATCTCACAGGATTTTCAAGAGGATAAAAAAATACTATGAAACACAATGTGTATTATTTGATTTGCTAGGTAAAGAATTGACAAGTGGCTTTATACGGTCCTAAATTTAATTTACAAAGCCCTTTGTAAGTAATTGGTTCAGAGTTCTGCAAGGATAATCTGCCCCTTTCCTGACAATCTTCTTTGTGAACAGGACAGATTGGCAATCATCAGAAAAAAGGAAAAAGGTTTTAGAAGAGAAAATAGGATGCCAGATCCATCAATGGAAGATAAATAAGTAACTTTGGAGGGATTGAAAATGCTTTTCAGAGAAGCCTGGGTCATACCTTAAACCAATAGGGAACAAGGTGACATACACTTACCCTGTTATCAGTTTTTTAACTGCCTTCTGACCCCAACTGTCAAAAATTATTATTTCCTGATGTTTTGAGGTGGAAAATACAGTGTAGCATAAGCTTTTAAATAGCATAATATTGTTTGAAAGAGTGAAGAAACATTGCATCAAAATGTCCAGATTCTGATCCTCAGCCGGAAGGCAGTCAGCTGATACCATTGCTCTCACTGGATCCACATTCTACATTAATCTCTAATGCAGTGATGGCGAACCTTTTAGAAACTGAGTGCCCAAAACCCGCCCCCTTCCCTCCTCCGCCTTCCATCTTGCTGCTCTGCCCCTGCCCGCCCCCTGCCCCACCCAGCTGCAGGACCACGCACCGCCTCCTTGGCCCGCCATAGCAGATCACCCAGGCAGCCCTGCAGCGCCATGGCAGCCACGCCCTCCACCCACACCCCGCAGCATCATCTGCATACTATGAGGTATGAGGACGGAGTTTTGTCCCTGCTGCCTGGCTATGTCCTTGGCTGCACTGCTCCGTGTAGACCGCACCCGGGGGTGACTCACCTCCAGGAGGGCTGCTGGTGAGGAGGGGGGCGTGAGGGGGAGGTGGGGCTGGGGTGATGGCATGCGTGCCCTCAGAGAGGGCTCTGAGTGCCGCCTCTGGCACGTGTGCTATAGGGTCACCACCACTGCCCTAATGTGATTGATCTGATTTTCATTTAGGGTACTGAATGTACCAGCCACTGTGATGTATTCAGTAAAGAATGATTAAATAAACTGTGTGTGCAAATCCAGTGAAAGGAACACATCTGCTTTTATAAAATCTTTTCTGCCAATCTTTCAGTTTGAGCTACAAGATGCCCAGGCCACATTGTTGTCAGTTCTGTCTTCACCACTATCTTCGACCTCATGTTTTGATTCCTGTGTTGAATCTTCAGAATTGACTTCCCCAACCTCTGGTCCAGTTGAACTTCTCATTTCATAATTAGAGTTCATCATTAAAAAAACAAAGCCTGAAAAGGGAAGGCAAAATGAGGCAGCCAATTCAAGTAGGAATCTTGGGTTTCTGGTAGTGCACAATTTCTCCGAATCTTTGCATACCTTTTCCAAACTATAAATAACATTCATCATTTGTGATAAACTAAGTTTCTGACATTGATTTGTGACTAAGTTTTTTTTTGCATGTAAGCTTTATATATATATATATATATATATATAAAAATCCTAGAAACAGCCTGAAGGGGAAGCTAGAAAATCTATTGGTGTGTCTTTCACATCATGCAATTTTAAACAGATTTTTTTGCCCCAAATTTATCTGTTTACCATTTTAACTCTGGGTGAAGAGCAGTAGAAGGAGCTATGTCTTTGATTTTCAAAAACACTTTTATGTGTTGCATTTTCTTATCCATCAGCAATTATTTGGGTAGTTCCTGTGAAAAGAGAAGATGTAGTAGCAAATTTTGTTTCTAGCAAAACACTTGCAGCACCCTCAGAAATAACAAATGTCTATCCTTACACTTCACTCACTATCTACAGATTACAGGTTGCAGAATAAAGTTTCATTGTATCTTGGTGAAAAAGAAAGGTAAAAGCCTTCATGTGAAGTACTGCCTAAGGGAATTGTTATTTATTTTATTTATTTATAAATATATAACAATGAACCTAGTTAATTATTTTGCAAAAAATAAAAATAAAATTTGAATAGAGCATTTATTTAGATGTGTATAATTTCTTTTCATGTGTTTGTGTGTATAAAGTTTTTATTGATTTTTCAATACAATTCAACAGTGCTTATTCAACAAACTTGTTGTCTGAGTTTATCATTCTCTAATACAAATTAAATTCCTAATCCCTAGTTCATTTCCCAAGTTTGAAAATGTTCTCTTTCTTCTTTTTCTTTCAGTCTCAAAGTCAATCTGTCCATTTCTGCACAGTCTAGTATTTTTTAATTATTTCTTCTTATTATTTAGATGTGTATAATTTCATATTATTGGTCATCATAGCTTTCAGGCAGAAGTTTAGTTATTTTATTTTGGTATTCATACAATCACAAAGATGCCCAATTAACTTTGGTATGTTTTACTATTGGCAACTATATTACAGGCTCCTGGACTTACAACCACAACTGAGACCACAATTTTCATTACTAAGCAAGGTATTTGTTAAGTGACTCATATTTTGGTTGCCAAATGCGCTAATTTTGATCATGGGAATGTGGCAATGGCTGTGAGTGTGATGACTGGTTGTAAGTCACTTTTTTCAGTGCCGTTTTAACTTTACATAGTCACTAAACAATTAGCTATAAGTCGACTACCATTAATATATCATAATGAAATTAATTACATTAAATGTATTTGAAGGAGCCAAGGATGGAGAAGAGTAACCTATTCTGCCAATTTTTTATACCAAGGCTTAGTGGCCTAGAGGTGGAGCTCTCACCTCACAATGAGGAGGCTATGAGTTCAATCTGAGGTAGCAGCAGATATTTTTTTTTTATGGGTGTAAAGAAAAAATTTATGCTGTGAACTCCGCATAGGCGTCAGGAAGGGCATCGAATCAGTAAACACTCAGGTCCATTCAGTTGCCCTGACTCCACCCCAATGCAAGGAATTATAAGGTTGTTAAAAAAAAAGTGGACTGAAGACCAAAGCACAAAGTGTTCACAATTAGGTTCTGGTTAAAAGTTGTAAATAGTGTTGCAACCATCCTTATTGTTTTATTTCCTGGTTTGGAAGGAGTCCCTAAACCAGATTTCTCCAGTTCAATTTTCACAGTAGATCAGGGCTTTTTTTGTAATAGAACGCCCAGAATGGAGTTCCGGCACCTTTTTTGGATGGAACCTTGTAGGACAGGCAAGGCAGGTTGTATGACGTGTGAGTTCTGGCACCTTTTTTTTTAACAAAAAAAGCACTGCAGAAAACTATAGATTAATGAACTAGGATACTAATGTGAAAGCAGGCACAAGAATATTTTCTACCTTCAGCCATTTGATGTCAGAAAAAAGACTCCACAAAAAATATTGGAACTCTGCTGATATTGGCTAGAGTATGATAGCTTGAAAAAATGCTGCAGCATTTTTCCTTTTCTTCCTTTCCTTTTCAAGGAGAGTCAAGGCAGGGTCAATTTACGTTTCTTGCTAACATTTTTATCTTTTCCTAGGCTGCATTCATTTTTTTGCTAACTATTGCCACCTGATTACTTCTCCAAGGCCATCTCTTATTTTCCTTTTGAGACAAGGTTTAATTTTTTTACGTCCATATTCTTTTGAACTACATAACTATTAAATGGAAATTGCTGGACAATGGAAATAAATTATATGTTCTTAATGGAGTTCTGTAGTCCTTCAACATTGGAAATATAAATTTATGATCTCATATATTTAGTAGATTGAAGCCCTAATGTTACTTGTGATTTATAAAAATGTTGCTTAGAGATGAATATTATGTATGGATGATTAAAATAACATGTTGTCTTGTATTAATTAAAGTGGTTGTATAATATTTCATACATCTATATAAATGCATGAGAATCCATTCTTGTTTTATATTGCTTTTTAAATTTATTTCTGTTGTTTTATTCTTCTGTTTTTGTAGTAGTTGAAGTTCTGTTCTGTTTAAAAGTCTTTTAAAATGGAATGTATACTTTTGATTTTCTTAATTTCTTATATAAAGCCTACTACTGCACCTGCCCTTTTCTGAATCTTCAGCTGTTCAAAAAAATGGGCAAACCAGCACACTCAGTATGGTCCTTTTTAGAATTTTTTTTTTTGGGGGGGGTAGGGCATAATACTGGATCTTAGACCAATGTTTCTCAGCCTAAGCAACTTTAATGTGTTTTTAATTTCCCAGAATTCTGGGAACTAAAGTCCACGTGTATATATGTGTGTGTATGTATGTATGTATACATACATACATACATACATACATACATACGTACGTGCGTGCGTGTGTGTGTGTGTGTGTGTGTGTGTGTGTAGGTCTTTGGTTATTTGGATTTTCTCCCACGTCAAATTGGAAGTATCTTGGCGACGTTTCGATGAAGTCCCATTCGTCATCTTCAGGCTGGTGTTTTCAGCTTTGTGCTTCTAGGAGCAATGTGTGATCGTAGCTGTTTCTTCCTTTTAACTACCAGTGGGGGTATGAACTGATTGGATGAGAGCTTGGCTGTGTTCTGATTGGTTGGGGGAGTGTTCTGTTTGGTGGGGGCTTTGTTGTGCTCAGGTTAGTCTGAATTGCAGGGGATGTGAGATGGTGAACTGCATTGCTATTGTTTGGCTTCGCGTTCGTGGTCGTGCCTCATCTTCATGATGGGTGTCAGTTTGCTTCATGTATGGATTGGAGGGGTTTAAAGTGGCTAATGATGCAGCTGTGGTCTGGCTTCTGGTTTCTGGTTGTGCCTCATCATCGGTGTGGCTTTGCGTTTGCTTTTTGCGTGGATGTGTGGTGGTGACATCCTGTGTGGTTTTTGTGAGTGTGGGTCTGGTGTCATTCTTTGTGTTAGGGACTCGTTTGTCAATCAGGGCAGGTTTTCAGATGGCTGGTAGGCAGGAGGTATCATCTCGTTTGTTCATGCTGTGTGGGCGTTTTTCTATCTCGATGGCTTCTCTGATTATTCTGTTATTAAAGTGTTCAGTTTTGGCGATAGTTCTGGTCTTTTTAAAATCAATTTCATGTCCTGTGATTTTAAGGTGTTGGACCAGGGAAGAAGTTGGTTCCTCTTTTTGGACTGAGTTCTTATGTTCTTCAATGCGTGCACTTATTCTTCTGTTGGTTTGCCCGATGTATGTGGTGGCACAAGCGGTGCATGGGATTTCGTATACTCCTTGATTTCAATTTTGTCTTTGGGGTTTCTTAGGATGGTGGATATTTTTCTGTTTGTGCAGAATGCTGTCTTAATGTTGTGTTTGTGGAGGATCTTGCTGATTCTGTCTGTGGTGCCTTTTATGTAAGGGAGGAGGGCTTTGCCGTTTTCTTGTTCTCTGTCTTGGATTTTAGTGGGGGTTTCTTTTTGGATTAGTTTGGTAATCTTTGGTAATCTTTATATATGTGTGTGTGTGTGTGTGTGTGTGTGTGTGTGTTTTCTGAGGTTTTCGCGGGTGTTTGTATGTAGGTCTTTGGTTGTTCGGGTTTTCTCCCGCATAAAATTGGAAGTGTCTTGGCAACGTTTCGACGAAGTCCCATTCGTCATCTTCAGGCTGGTGTTTTCAGCTTCGTGCTTCGAGCAGCAATGTGTGGTCTTAGCTGTTTCTTCCTTTTAACTGCCAGTGGGGGTATGAACTGATTGGGTGGGAGCTTGGCTGTGTTCTGATTGGGTGGAGGTTTGTTCTGATTGGTTAGGGGCGTGGCTGTGCTCTGATTGGCTGGGGGGTTGGCTGTGCTCTGATTGGCTGGGGGGTTGGCTGTGCTCTGATTGGCTGGGGGAGTGTTCTGTTTGGTTGTGCTCAGGTTAGTCTGAGTTGCAGAGGGGTTTAAGATTTTGGGCTGCCTTGCTATTTTTTGGCTTCGCGTTCGTGGTCGTGCCTCTCTTCATGGAGGGTGTCAGTTTGCTTCATGTATGGATTGGAGGGGTTTAAAGTGGCTAATGATGCAGCTGTGGTCTGGCTTCTGGTTTGTGGTCGTGCCTCATCATCAGTGTGGCTTTGGGTTTGCTTTTTGCGTGGATGTGTGGTGGTGACATCCTGTGTGTTTTTTGTGAGTGTGGGTCTGGTATCATTTTTTGTATTAGGGAGTCGTTTGTCAATAAGGGCGGGTTTCCAAATGGCTGGTAGGTGGGAGGTATCATCTCGCTTGTTCATGCTGTGTGGGCGTTTTTCTATCTCAATGGCTTCTCTGATTATTCTGTTATTAAAATGTTCACTTTTGGCAATGGTTCTGGTATTTTTAAAGTCAATTTCATGGCCTGTGGCTTTAAGGTGTTGGACCAGGGAAGATGTTGGTTCCTCTTTTTTGACTGAGTTCTTATGTTCTACAATGCGTGCACTTATTCTTCTGTTGGTTTGTCCGATGTATGTGGTGGGACAAGTGGTGCATGGGATTTCGTATACTCCTTGATTTTCTAATTCAATTTTATCTTTGGGGTTTCTAAGGATGGTGGATATTTTTCTGTTTGTGCAGAATGCTGTTTTGATGTTGTGTTTATGGAGGATCTTACTGATTCTGTCTGTGGTGCCTTTTATGTATGGGAGGAGGGCTTTGCCATTTTCTTGTTCTTTATCTTGGATTTTAGTGGGGGTTTCTTTTTGGATTAGGTTTGTAATCTTATTTCTATGGAATCCATTGGATGTTAGAACATTGGTGAGAGTGTGTAGTTCGGTTTTTAGGTGTTGTTTGTCAGCTAAGCGTTTTGTTCTGGAGATGAGTGTCTTGGCTACAGAGTTGATCTGTGCTGGGTGGTGGTGTGAGAGAGCGTGCAGATAGCGGTTTGTGTGTGTTTTCTTCTGGTAGATGGTGTGTCCTAGGGAGCCATTGGATTTCTTGTAGACTAAGACATCCAGGAAGGGAAGTTGGTTGTTAGTTTCTGTTTCCATGGTGAACTGTATTTTGGGGTGTAGGCTGTTGAGGTGTGTGAGGAAGTTGTCCAGTTTTTCTTTCCCATGTGGCCAGATTATGAAGGTGTCGTCTACGTATCTGAGCCAGAGTTTGGGTTTGTGATCCGATTTTTCTAGAGCTTGGGTTTCAAAGTGTTCCATGTAGAAGTTGGCAATGACAGGTGAGAGGGGTGATCCCAGGGGTGCTCCTTCTGTTTGTTTGTATTTTTGTCCGTTATAGATGAAGTATGTGTTGGATAGGCAGTGGTTGGTCAGATCTAAGATGTGTTTGGGGGGGTTATATTTGTTTTGAATAGCTGTCAAGGCTTCTTTGATAGGCACTTGGGTGAAGAGGGATATGACATTGAAGCTCACTAGTAGGTCGCTGGGCTGTAAGTTTTGTTTCTTTATGATCTCTATAAACTGGAATGAGTTTTTTTATGTGTGAGGTGATGGATTCTGCATAGGGCTTTAGTTGTTTGGCGAGAAATTTGGCTAGGTTTTGTAGAGGTGAGCCTATGGAGCTGACAAACCAGAAGCCAGACCACAGCTGCATCATTAGCCACTTTAAACCCCTCCAATCCATACATGAAGCAAACTGACACCCTCCATGAAGAGCAGGCACGACCACAAACGTGAAGCCAAAAAATAGCAAGGCAGCCCAAAATCTTAAACCCCTCTGCAACTCAGACTAACCTGAGCACAACCAAACAGAACACTCCCCCAGCCAATCAGAGCACAGCCAACCCCCCAGCCAATCAGAGCACAGCCACGCCCCTAACCAATCAGAACACACCTCCACCCAATCAGAACACAGCCAAGCTCCCACCCAATCAGTTCATACCCCACTGGCAGTTAAAAGGAAGAAACAGCTAAGACCACACATTGCTGCTCGAAGCACGAAGCTGAAAACACCAGCCTGAAGATGACGAATGGGACTTCGTCGAAACGTCGCCAAGACACTTCCAATTTTACGCGGGAGAAAACCTGAACAACCAAAGACCTACATATATATATATACATACAATTAAGTATATAAATTAAGCATATAAATACATACAATTATACATACAATTAAGTATATAAATTAAGCATATAAATACATACAATTCTGTAAAAATTTGGCTAATAAAATGTTTGCTGTTGTGTTAAGCATAGTTTCATCATCACAGCAGGTATGATAATTCAATCACTGGCAAGAATCTTGTGGTTGCACTTCATTAACTGGCATTTCACTCAAAAGAGAATCAAACTTTTCTCCATTCTGATGTAATGCAATGGATTGACATGTGTATCTCAAAAGAAAATTTCAGTAATAGCCAAATCTAACAACTACCCAAATCACAATCAGCAGAACCTGTCTGTATATGTTACCAGACATTCTCAAATCTCACTATCCCTCCATTGTGCATTTCCATATAGTACACCTCAAAAGGAAGCAGCAGCAAGGGTGAGGTGGCTTTCCTGATGTTCTAGCAAGAAAGTGTCCCTGTCCCTTCTGTCAATTGCAATATTAGACATTTAATATTTAACTAAGCACCCTTAATGCATTCAACCAGAATGCTCTGATTTGTTTTCTGCTTTTCTGAATCTCTCTTCCATGCACAGATTTGGAAAGATGAGTCCCATCATAGCCAATAAAGTCTCACTGTTTATTATTGGTTGAAAACCACTGAGCTAGGCTAGCATTTTGGAAAAGTTTGTATTGTGCAGAATGGGTACATCTGAATTGATAAAGAGAGATTCCTATGTTCCAATCTATACAAAGTTGCCCTTGGACATAGTGGAGAAAGCAAACACTGTCAGCCTACCATGTAATCACCCTGGTAAACAGTCTAAATTTATGATGATAACCTGAGGCTGGGAAAAAAACTGGAGGAAAAGAAAACACCAATAAGATTTTCACAAATACACAGAGTCTCTCATGTGGAGAAGTTGAAAGAGCTAAGCAACTGCAGGAAGTTAGTACTGTTGGATTTGGACAGAGAATAGCAGGGAAAAATGAATGAGACTGAGTGCTGAAGAGATGCAAGTTTAAGGTTGATTCAAAATCAGTGAAGATTCACTATGTGAGAAGGACAATGATGCAATGCAAGACCTGTATACTTGGTGTGGACATTCAGGGTGAAAAGATGATGCAAAGTTACCAAAAACAGAGACAGGGGTGGCCTTCAAAGGTTTGCAGTAAGTTTTAATCAACTGGCAAATTTACTGGCAATTACATGTTAAGATGATATTGCAACAGAAGAAAGAACAGGACACTGAAATACTATAGCAGAGACATAAATAAACTCTGAACTATAAAGCAGTTAGGCTGTAACTTTGCAACATTCCAATGAAGGAAGAATTCAGAAAAGAGGCAGAAACTGAAGCTGTCTTTCTTTATATGTATTGGCTGGATGTTGCCTCATAATTAATGCACTTATTATTAACATCTCTCCATTCCTTTTTCTTTTTTAGTTCTGGTTTTCTAATTTTTAATGTTCTTTTAATAATTATTATATAATTGTTTAAGGTTATTATTATTTATTTTATGGTTTTGTTGAATTGTGGTGTGCCACTCAGAGTCAATGTCCATAAGATAGGAGACCACATAAATTTGATTAATAAAAGTAATAAGTAAATAAATATTTCTCTGAAAGAATCAGTACCAAAAAGTAATATCTTTCTATTTTGTTCCACTGCAAAAAAGAAAATCAAAATGATTGATATGAAAGATCTTGCTTGTTGTATTTTGTCTAATCAATTCCTGAGAACTCATAACATATCTTGAGGGGAAAATGTTTATTTTTCCTCTAACCTTATAATGTGCACTACAAAAATGTACTGAACATTGATAGAAAAGCTGTTAGGTGAAAAAGTAAAGCAAGCTTCAAAAATGTAATTATTGTTCTGCACCATTATCCAAACTCAACTGGAAACAATCTTAAGTTAGAGAAACACATAGCCAAACATTAATACTAAAAAACTAAAAGCATGCTATTAATTTCATGAATATACCTTGTTATGGGTGTTTTCTCAATCATTCATGTCTTCCCACCAGAATGTCTTAGAAGACTTTAAGCAACCAAGATATGACTGGAATTTTCCATCACCAATTTCCCAGTCAAAATTAGTTTTGGCCAAACTTCTGTTCATGCTAGAGCAGTTGCTGGGGTTCTTGGATCATGATATTTGGTTTTAAATTTTCCTTTCTTAGCTTTTCATAGCTTTGACATCATGCCAAAATGAGTCATTGCTCTTAATAGGGCAGCAAACAGAAGTTCTGAGCTTGTTTGCAGCATCTGTTCTGTTAGTCATTCATGAAAACCTTGCCTAAAGCTTGAGGGGAAAACTTGGGTGAAAAAACAATTTTCCATTTTCATTATAAAATATAATTTTAATTAGGTGCAAAGCATATAATAGTGCCTTTGCACTATTATAAATAACTTTTAAGAAGACACAAATAACAAATGGCATGACAAAACATTACATAACTTAGAAAAGTTGTGGTTCAATCTAATCCCCTTGATCTATTCATTTGATAGTTTTCCACAAGCAAAACTAGGCCCACTGCCCAAGCCTTTCTCACCTGGACCCTCCAATTTATGCTGACTTTCAACTTTCATAAACTGAAGCAAAACGAAGTCAATGGAAATTGAAGTAAAAAAATATCTGGAAAGTATCAAACGTAAGAAAAGTGCCTGAAGAATTTTAAAGAAATAGGGAAGCAGTTCAGCAAAATCTCCAAAATTTATAACAGAACTCCAAAGTACTATAGTACAAATCTATCTCAATCTTTATACCAAAAGAAAATTAAATTATATAAAATAAATCACTAACATATATGCAATTTAACTGAATTTATACACATTATTTATGCAGGTTATATCATTAGCATGACACTAAAATTTAGAGAAAAATGTTAATTCTCCAGAACCTCATTATCAAAAGTAGCCATCAAAAGTTCAATTTGTTCCATTTATTAACTTTGAATATATGGTCACTAATTAGCATTCATTTGCCAATCGTATCAGTGTCAGGGAGTTTAAATAATTGCTTAGTCTTATGAAATCAGTGGATCATGTATACATTTCACTGGTTATATAAGAATGATTGTTATGAGGAAAAGCTTAAATTCATGTCTTTAGCTCTCATTTTGACTCTCATAGGTATAATATTACTACTCTAATTTACATTAAACCAAAAGAAGAGAGAAGAATCATTTCCCTCCAAAGGCAATAATTGTCATCAGAAATAGCCCAACTGTAGTGGAGTCCCCCTTGACCAAAAAAAAAAAAAAGGCATAGTGTCTGAAACAGCTGCAGAGCATCAATTTGCAGTAAGTTTCAACTTTTCTTAAAGCTAAATTTCATTATTTAGAAAATGCAATCAAAATGGAATCTTGTTACTTAGGCTTTTAAACTAAGAGAGTAAATGCATTTTGAAGCACTCAAACTTAAATGACTCATTTCCTTCAGCAAGACTGAGTCAGAACTTTACAACCTCAGGGGAATGAACTTGTCCCTTCACTGAGGATGTTTCAATATATTGTTCTGCTCTTTATTTCACCTTCAGTTGCATTGAGAGAAATAAACTACCCTTGTTTGTGACCATCTGAACAAAAGGCAGTTGAGGTAACTTACATTTGCTTCATATTGAGGCACAAGTTCAAAACTGAAATTTACTCATCTAGGAGAAGAAATGTGATTAGCTTGATGAGAAGAATAAAAACATCCTGTTTTTCATGAAGTATTTTAAAATTTATAGTAAAAGTTTTATGACAACATTGCACCTCATGCTGGTACTTGATATTTGATCATAATTATTTCTTGTTTCATTAGATGAGAAAACCTAAGTTATCTAACAGTTATCTTACGATTTCCCCACCATACTTATTTAATTTGATAGAAAACAAGTCACCATTGGAGAAGAGTCTATGTGATTGGTTCTCTCTCTCTCTCTCTCTCTCTCTTTCTTAGTACAATTATTTTTCTGCTTATCTGTATTCTTCCAGACTTCCCACTTTTTCATTAATTCTGGACTTTTTCATACTATAACAGGCAAGGAGACTATAGTAGGTTGGAAAGATTCATTAACAGAAAAAGTCAACACAAACTCCCTCTGCTTTTAATGGACATTGTGAAGACTGAGATAGAAAAACAGATAGTCTTTGCAATGAAGGTGAATCTCTTTCACCTGAATGAGGACTACATTCTAAATTGGGGGAGATATTGAGGGTTTCTTTTTAAAAGTGGACAACAGAAGAAAAATAAGGAAAATATCATTTCTTTTAAAGGATTTGAATGACTAACACCAATTCAAAATCCTAACTTTATAAGATAATATCTGTAGCTCAGAGTTGTACTGTGAATTTCTTCGTGCGTTCTGAGCTTGGTTGTTTGCTTGCAGAGGTTTCTATACCCAACTAGGTACATCATACCCAAACTAATGATGTTACCTAGTTGAGTAATATCTGCAAACAAGCTCAGAGAGCACTAAGGATTTCTAGCTTTAAACATAAGACAATGCTAGATTTTTCATGTTTTCCAAATTTGAAGCAAGAGATGGATCAGCAAGCCCATAAGGTAATATTGTGCCAGATTTCTGGACAAGCACTGAGCAGAACTAATGTCAAGTGAGCCCTCAGCCCTGGAAGCTCACTGCATTACTTTGGACCATTCACCTACTCTCAGCCCAACCTACCTCACAGGATTGTTGTTGTGGGAAGAAATAGAAGGAAGAAATGGTGTACATTTCCACCTTGAGCTCCTGGAGGAAAAGCAGAAAATGAAAATAATAAAATAAGCAAGCAGGGAAATGTATGTTTAGTTGTTTAGTTTTGGATAATACACTGCACAAGGCAAGAAGCAGATCTTAGCAGCACTAATTCATCTTATCCCCAGAGATTTCTGTTGCCAAGCAATTTCTGCATTGCTTTTCCACAGGTGCCTCATAAGCTGACACATTTGATTTAAAGAGCATAAAATATTCAACCATATTAAATCTGACTTTGGGGGTCACAGAACTCACAGCCCTCCCCCAAAGTTTAGTCAATTATAATTGCTGTCATGAAGTAGTAAATCTGCTTTAAAAATTACAGAAATAGATTTTGACCACAAGATCTCCACATCGTTTACCATACAAATAGATTTCTGAAGCCACAGCATTCAGCTTTCATTGTTCTCCTCTACCATTTCAGTTCTGCCTCACAGTATTTATCAAATGAAGGTATTTACTTAATTAATTTCCCTTTCATTATTTTACTAAGGTAATATGCCCTGAACAAAGCCACTGCTGGGTTACACCGTCATATCATAGCTAGATGGGAAATTGGATTTGAAAATTAGTTGGGGAGAGGAAAGAAATAACCTCTCTAAATGAACTAAAAGACATTATATTTCTGTGGGGGAGGAATATTACTTCCCATGTAAGCATGATTGCTTCCTCTTAGAAGAGTAAACCATGTATCCCATTTCAAATCAAGTTGGAGGATCCTCTACAACAGGGGTATCAAACTGCCAGCCCATAGGCCGGATGCATCACCAGGAAACCGCACTCCGATACATCATGCAACGTCATGTAACGTCACGAGTTTGACATGTCTGCTCTACAGTAACCATTGAGACAATTATAAATTTTCAGGGAACAGAAACATCTACAATAAAATGAGCTGTGCAACTAGAAATCTGGATCCAAAGTACGGTGAATTACCCTATCATTTACCATTCCCCAAATACAGTATAGGATCAAGGTAAATTAATTTCTACACACATACATACTAAAAGGTAAGACTAAGTTTTTAAAGATTAAATTAAGTATTACAGCCTTACATAATGCATGTTTTCAGCCAAGCAGACCAATAAGATAAGTCGACCGGTCTCTTAGAAGAAATTCTCTTTTAGCCATCAAATTTCAGAAAGGCAACGGCCAACGAGTCTTTGAAAATAGCTCTTTCATTGGTTTCTTTAAAAATAAGAAAGAAATGCTGAATTGCATAGATGTGTTACAGTTGTATGTATATTGTACTACAAGGGAACACACACACAAACACACACACACCAAAAATCTGGAAGTTATAACATTGCAGGTTAGCTGACACTCAAGAGATGATATATTTTGCCTTGCTAAGGTACCAAAATCATAGTGTACTGTTAATAGTTATTTGCGAAAAATATTGACAATTTAAAACTGTGTATTTTCATTTCCATCTCTCTTGCTGATGGAAGAGCTGTAACAGTAATAAAATTAGAGGAAATTATAGGATAGAAACAAGGTTTTCAAGGCTCTATTCTACCTGTTCTATTTACACATGCAGTACATACATGATTAAACTGTTGATCTATATATTATTCTATTCAGGAAGCACAGAGCTTTCTAATGTGATCTGTTCATAGAAGGAACAAGCAAGAAATGCCAGGATGACAACTACCATATTTTTACCACATGCCCTGTACTTTTAAGAGCCAATATCCCATCTGCTGAATTTTCCATTTCTGTATTATTTTTAAGAAAAACTCTCATATTGCTTCCATGGTTTTGATCTCTTCAGATGCATCTTATATGACTTTGAGGGAGGGGAGGCAAATAAGATAAATAAAATTTACAAGCAAGTTCTTAATATCTTTAGCATGTGTTATCAAATAAACTTACTAATACTAATAAAAACTATTATTTATTATTTCTATGACATTCTTGATAAATGAAGCACTTCTTATTCCTATTATTCATTTTTCACAAGACCATTTGAGGTAGGCCAATATGATTTGAAGTTGACAGAGGCAAAGGAAAGGACAAAGACAATCAAGTCCAAGGCTATAGAAAGAGTCATTTATATATCCTGTGAAATTTTACCTTACAGAAGGCTTATAAACAACATTTGGAATTCTTTCACAAAACAGAAAAAAAATGCAAGGAAAGGAAGAGGAGAATGTTTCATTAACTTCTTTGAAAGAACAGCATTATAATGATAAATAAATGTACAAATACATACAAAGAATGTATTATTTATAAATTGTATTTATAATAAAGAGTATGACTAAACTGTATTTTAATAACCCATGGAGATTACTTCCACTAAAGAAGGAAGTGAATCATGCAAAGTGGACAAGTCATCATGTAATATGATAAAATTGGACAGGTTTGAGGTAATTTCACTGAATGTCAGCAAAATTTGTTAACTTAACCAATTAAAAATAGAATAAAAATGTCATACCGTATAAACCACTAAGTTTATTATATATATTTCTATATTAGTTCCAACATGTTAAGAATAAGCGTTCTTATGTCCTACAATTTAAAAGATATATAAATATTGCAAAACAGCTAAATATATTCAAGAAACTCATCTATATATTACATCAACAGATGGTCCAAACTAACCCAAGCTGATAATAATTCACACAAGATGAAGTCTCAAGATAATAAATTTTGTATGTTGCTTTCTTGATTTACTTGAACTTCAGCTGCTATTCTCCAAGAACACAATAGTAAATATGCAGGATAATATATGCATTGTATTCCCAATAAGGTTGGCAGAAATTTACCTCTATTTGTTAGTCAAAACATCTAGTTTTTATTTTTATAATTATTTGATACGCTCCCATATGTTTCTTGTTTATAACCTTGTTATCGCGCTCAGTTTAGGGGAACACAAGGACATTCTGCAAGGCTTAAATAAATTTGATATTTATTAAAAATGTTCCTTTTATCACAAAAGATCTTCAAATAATCTGGAGCGCTGTTCCTCCTCACCCACTCCAACACATTTCATCAACAAGACCCTCAAGACAGAGCCATCAATCCAGTGCCCAGCTTTCCATATTAATGAACCACATGCTCACCTTTGGATAAACAGCCCATCTCTTAAACTCTCACCTCTGGGTAGGTCTTTTTTCTCTCATCCATCTCACATGCCATTGGGGGGGAGGGGGAAATCACTAATTCCCCTTATATCCTTTTTCAGACTCCATCCTCCCATCACAATTGTTGCACACTTGTCTTTGGTATCTCCCACCTGCTGCTCTCCTCCAGTTCAGCTCTGTATATTCTTGTTTCTTCTCTTTTCTGTTTTCTTATATAGAACTTCTTCTAGAACAGGGGTAGCAAACTGCCAGCCCATGGGCTGGATGCATCATGCCAAACCACACCAGCTCCGGCAATGGGGAAAAAGTCATGACATTCCTGTTCTAGAATATCCAAATATCCTTTGGACTATTATCATCAGCTGCATTAGATACACTAGACCAGGAAATCAATTCCACAAGAAGGCTAAATCTACTTTTATTGGGAGTTGCTACATTAACAGAATCTTGCAAGTCCGATTGTGCTTCACACCTCCCCTTCTTAAAGTGCAGTGATTCATGGCAATGACTGCCTGAGTTATTTTCAAATGTTATCTTCCTATTCTAGACTTAAAAAGTACTTCAGACATTTTGTTCATGCAACCACTACTGCTTCTTCTGTCAAAGCCATAGTATCTACAATTATTGTAAAGTAACCATCTTTACGACCCTATGTATAATGGCAGCTAGTGCCATACTAGTTCCACAGCAATGGAAAATCTGTCCCCACAACAACCTAGTTTGCTTTCAACCTAATATATTGTCATTCCACCTGAAAAACAATCTGGCACAAGAGCCATTATCAGCAAACAGTATCTTGTTATTTCACTAATTCTTGTTAATTTGTAGGCAGTTAAATATCCTTTATCTTTTCTATTTTCCCTCCTCAAAGACCATTCTACTGCATTGAACTTCATACTCCATCATTTCACTTATCAACTCCTTCAATCATTGTCTTCCACATCTCTTTCAGTTAATAATTTCCACACTTCAAAAACCAGGTTCCCCCAAATGTACACAACACCAGTCCTATACTAAGCTGGACATAGTTTCAAATACACTGAATCTGAGCCAGAAATAAGACAGTTCAGTTGTACATCACTGCTGACATTATGCAATCACAGGTATCTGTAACTGCTTTCAAATTGGTGCAAAATCCATATAAAGAAATTTTTAGGCAAGCTCTTCCCAAATGATGTTCTTTAGATGCTTTAGATTTCAATTTCTGGTATTCCAAGTCCCAGTATATAGGAAAATATTCTGCGCAACCGGAAAGTATTTCAACTTTAAGCACGAGGAAGGTTTTTGAACTGATGGAACCAATAAAAATATTGAGACTTTTTAAATGAGAATTGCCATCAGAAGAAACTTAGTTTCCGAAAAATTTGGTCCATCTATAGGATCTCCTGAACAAACAGAGGGTTGCACTAGAAGACCACCAAGGTCCCTTCCAACTCTGTTAGTCTGTTATTTTTTTTTTCCTGTTATAACTTCCATTATCTTAGTTACCATCTAACAGGCGTCAGACTGCCAGACGGAACAGATGACTAAAAGCGAGAGGAATGTTTTTACTCTTAAAAAGCAAAACAAAGAGGCAAAAGCAGTTGAATTGATTTTGAAAATAGTCCCACTTGCTTTCCAGTTTTAAATTCTGTTCAAAACAAATAATCAAATAAGCACTCAAGGCAAACCTTCTGTTTCTTTGAGGCTTTCTTGACACAAACAGTTTGGCTACATTCCTTTCTATAAAAAAAAAACCAAAATCAGCATATGCTCCCTTATTTTGCAAATGCTGCAAAGATTTTTCTTTCTTTTTATTAGACAAAAAGGATGCTTAAACCATATCACAAACCCCTGACAAAATTTTACTGAATATACAGTACATGTCTTCCGTTTATGAATAAGCTATGAAAATCTCTCTCTCTAGCTGAAACTATAGTTCATTAATTTACTTGTAAAGTGGAAAAGTCATCTGTAAAGAGAATGATAGGTCTGGGAAAATATAGAAAAGTTCCCAAGATCCTTCTAATATAGAATGTAGTCCTTCTCCCTACTTTCAGAAAAACAGTATAATTCAGACTGGACAAAAGAAATGTGCGATTAGCATGTAAATGTACAAATCAGTAAGGAAGATCTTCATTACCTCAGTGAGAAAATAGATAAATGAGCTCTCTTCCTGATTTAGGACACTAGATTTTATACTTGATCATTGCTTCATTATTCTTGATATATTCTTTCCCCCACAAAAATGTTCATAGACCCTTAATTTTTTTAAAAAAAGAAGTAATAATTGGGCATATGCAATTTTCAAATGTTAAACTCACTGATATTCCTGTATCTATAGGAATTAAATGGATTGTGGTTCTTATTTTCATTTTTAAAATGAAATATTATCAACAAACCAATTTGTATATTGTGTCGATCACTAAAGCAATTCTATGTGGCTTACATTACTTCTACAAATATAAAAGTAGCCAAAAGGAGGAAAAAACAGACAATAATATATATCATAATGGGGAGGATAATATAATATAAAATAACCAGGAATGAACTAGGGCCGTGATGGCGAACGTTTTAGAGACCAAGTGCCCAAACTGCAACCCAAAACCCACTTATGTATCATTGGGTGTCGGGTGGGCGTGGCCCATTGGGTGGGTGTGGCTCATTGGGTAGGCGTGGCCCATTGGGAGGACGTGGCTGCAATGGTAATGGCTGACTGGGTGGGACTAAAAAGTTCAATCAATCAATTTCAACTTTGCGAGGTCTTTTTTTTCCTGCGAGAAATTGAAATTGCTTGATTGATTGAGCCTTTTTTTTTTTTTTTTTGCACATGGCAGCGGAGGCCCAAAGCAAAAAGATTTTATAAAACTCAACTGAAGGCCTAGAACTGGCATGCATGGCTACAGAGAGGGCTCTGCGTGCCACCTGTGGCATGCATGCCATAGGTTCGCCACCACGGAACTAGGTAGTAAATCATTGCACCATACCCAGGGCCTGCAAGCAGAGGCAATTTCAGGGCCATGCAAACCACATAGAGATTCTGTTTTTCAGATGTGGTGTACTTACCAAGACAGAGCATCTTCTTTGGCCCATAAGGTCAGTGTTTTATAGTGGAATCTGGAGTATGCCAACTCTTTCAGATTTTACTGATTGGAAGAAATTGTGGGACAAAGACGGTTCAGTATATAACAAATATATATGGGATTTTACTGAGAAACCCAACACCTAGAATTACACATGGAATCTCACTGAGAGACAGTGCAGTTTTCAGAATAGATACATCTGTGTAGAGATATCTTGGTATCATAATACCATCTTCTTGATTTTCTTGAGAGACAAATGAAGGACAACATAGAACAGTGATGGCGAACCTTTTAGAGACCGAGTTCCCAAAACCTGGCCCCGCCCCTGCTCCACCTCCCTGCTCCACCCCCGCTCTACCCCCATCCTCTGCCCTGCCTACCCATAGGACCATTCACTGCCTCCAGGGCCCACCACAGATTGTCCAGGCAGCCCAGCAGCACTATGGCAGCCACACCCTCTGCCAGCGCTCTGCAGCATCAGCATCATCTGCATGGTGGGGTGTGAGGGCAGAGTCTTATCTACACTGCCTGGCTGCCATGTCCTTGGCTGCGCTGCTCCATATGGGCCATGCTCAAGGGCGACTCTCTTCCAGGGGGGGCTGCTGGAGAAGAGGGGGTTGTGGGGGAAGGTGAGGCTGGGACAATGGCATGTGTGCCCACAGAGAGGGCTCCAAGTACCGCCTTTGGCATCCATGCTATAGGTTCGCCACTACTGACATAGAATATAACAATAACCATATAGCAATGGCAACAGTTTGCTATCATTATATTTTATCTTCATTTGCCCTTTCCTAAGCATTCATGTTCCTTGCCAGATGCTTTGGACAAACTTAAGTCTTGTTGCTTCAGCGTATGGGCAAAGAATGAGTGATGATCAGGATGGGTGGTATATTCTTTACATAATTTTTGTTCTCTGGATTGCAACCTGATAGCCCTACCAAAATGGGTTGAAAAAAATTATGCATCTTCTCTGCTCCAAGTATTATCTGATTCTTCACTGAGTATCTCAGGCACTTCCATTAAGCTGAAATTATTGTATTCCACTCTGCACCCTTTTCAAACTCAAAGCTTCCTTCTTCTGAAGAGATTACTGACTGAATAACAAAACAGTTGAACCTGGAAATTCATTTTAATTCATGTTGGAAAGCAATTTAAGTTGAAAAGAATAACTTTCACATTGGATGACATGCTGTTTGTCTTACTAATTAAGCAAAGTTGGAATAAAGCAAGACATTCTTTAATTTCATGTCTCTGGCTCATAATTGTCATTCTATGAAGCAATATTTATACTTAAGATGCTGTAATGCCCCATTCCTATAATCCCCTTGTCCTCTTTTAGAGAAACAACAATGAAACTGAGCAATGGGAAAATAAAAAAGCAGTAGAAATAGGTGCAAGAGAAAGAAAGAAGCTGAACAGAAAAAATAGTTACTCTTGATCAAGGGCTAGAAGAATAGGTCATTTTAAAGAGTGACAGTTTAAGAGATAAGGGGTCAAGGAATAAAGGATAGTAGAAAAATTACTTGTGAAGGTTTCCCCCTTCCCTGCAGAACTGTACTCAGCCAGTCCCTGTAGTTAACAGGAAGAAATGCAGCTTGGGTATACAAGGGAATAAGAGGTGTTGGCTGCCATATAGGTAGTTCTCAAAACTGAGTCCAAAATTTCTGTTGCTAAGTGAGACATTTGTTAAGTTACATTTGTTACCCCATTTTATGACCTTTCTTGCCAAAGTTGTTAACTGAATCACTGCAGTTGCTAAATTAGTAACATCGTTGTTAAGTGAATCTGGCTCCCCTGTTGACTTTGCTTGTCGGAAGGTCACAAAATGGGATCACATGGCCCTGGGGCACTACAGCCATCATAAATATGAGTCAGTTACCAAGCATCTGAATTTTAATTATGTGACCATGGGGATACTGCAACAGTCTAAGTGTGAAACATGGTCATAAATCACTTTTTTCAATGCTGTTGTAACTTCAAACACTCACTAAATGAACTGTTGTAAGTTGAGGACTACCTGTACTCAATCAATGGAGGAAAAGAAGTCTGGCAGTTTTACCAATGAAGAAACTACCCAGTGAAATGGCTGGGGTAGGATCAATCCCTTTAGAGCTAAAAGGAGAAGTGTAGTGGATCAGATGTCTTGAATAGGGAATATCCAATCCAGGTAAGTAGAAAAAAGTGAAAAACTACAATAAGCCTAGGTGTTCATAGAAAGGACTAATAATGGGCATTATGATTCACAATATGAATATATATTTGTATCTAATGTTGGAATGCAAGTATAAAAGGTCAGGTGGTACATCAAGATATCAGAACAGCTTTTTGACATTTTCACACCATCATGATTTATATTGGACATCTATAATTACAAGAGACCTTTGCAGATTCAGCTATTGTTTGGGGGCTTTTGCAAGGGAGGAGAAAAGAGGTTTATTTAAGTAGGTGCTTACCTTTGAATAGTACTGCATCATTTTAAGATGGATTTCTAGTTTTTCAATAAGCTACCTCTATAGAACGTAAGAAGGTTATGGTGAGTTCAGTAAATTGCATGATAGCTAGAAATCCAGTGCCACACTTTTTTTAAAATAAAATTTGACAAAGAGTTAGAAAGATTCCTACTTAGCTATCTCAAGGCTTCTTGAATCTAGGAAAATGTTTGGACTAAAAGAGTAGTTTCATTAGGTTTTGGTTTCCCTTAGTGGATATAGGAACTTATGAAATTATTGTATTATTCAATTCATATAACATTACATACTTTTATTGATAATTATTTGATGTTATTACTATTCATGGAGCAGCAAACAATTAAAACATGTCTACAGATAAAATTCTTGTGATTTCATCAGATCCTCAGATGGTTATATTCACACCAATCCAGGATGTTTTTAGAATTCAACTTTCATGCCATTTATCAGTATAAAAGTGATATTTCTTAATTGTCACTATCACCATCTATCTCATCTACATAGATTTCCCTCTAGGCCTCTTTCCTCAGTCAGTCAACCAGTTTTTCAGTCAAATGTGTAGCTTTTCCATCCCCAATTATCCTCAAAGTATGATGAACTCCTCACATTAGGATAACCACAGAAAGTTATTCTTGGGGGTTATTTATTTCTACTATAAATGTATTCTTCAAGTATCTTACAGGTGTAATGACAAAAACACAAATACTTTTCTACGATATATAAATGCAGGGAATTTACAGAAAAGGTGCACCACTGTATTCAGCAGATGCTATTGAAGTAGCCATTGACTGCGCCTGTTCTAAGTCTTGTCAAATAAAAAGTGAAGATGAAAGATTGAGATCCCACCACCTGTTTTTATGCTACCTACTTTAGTGAGACTTCTTACCTTCTCAATAGAGCCCCACTACTTACTGTATGTTTACCAGGCTTTCTCCATACAATCTGGTGCTATGCCAAGAATGTCCTTGCTTCTGTGAAGAAGATCAAATGGGTATAAATCAAGCAGAAGCAAGGAGGTGGACCCTACCAAAACTGATTCCAATTCTCCATGACTTGATTGGTTGCTTTGCAAGGCTATAAATCAGATTGATTTGTGGTATCTGACAGAAGTGCAGCGGGCAGGCTTGAAACACA